GGTGTATGTGTGAGAGAGGTAGATGTGTGTGTGTGTGTGTGTGTGTGTGAGAGAGAGAGAGAGAGAGAGAGAGAGAGAGAGAGAGAGAGAGAGAGAGAGAGAGGTGGGTGTAGTTGAAGCCAGTAGGATGGTATGGTTGATTTTTTTTGTTTGTGATTGATGTGCCTTGTTGTTGGTGGTGGTGGATATCAGGTCAGAAGAAGTTGACAAAGGTGATCTGTCCTGACAAATGGAAAGATGGAGCATCGAATACAACAGAAAGCGGTGGAAGGAAGGTGAATGAGAACAAGCTGCTGAGCAAGAAGCACAGGTGGCAGCCTTACTCCACAAAGTGCAAGATCTGCAAACAGCAGCTTCATCAAGACGCTGCCTACTGCCAAACCTGTGCCTACAAAAAAGGTCAGTCTGTCAACCCTGTTCACTGTGTAACAACCCCCCCTTGCTCCAGTCTCTATCAGGCTGTTCATAGCGTAACCTTGCTGCCCAATCCCTGTGCCTTTACAAACAAGGTCAGTCTGTTAGCCTGTCAAATGTGAAAGGTCAGTCTGTCAGTCTGTCAGTCTGTTAACTGGGCAACCCTACTGCCAGTCCTCTGCCTGCAGAAAAAAGGTCAGTCTGTGTCAGACTGTTACCTGTGTAAGCCCACTAAGGGCCAGATCCCACTGGCAAAGAGGATTGGAATAGGTGGCTGAATGGCTGAATCTGGACGTGTTCCACACAGAGATGCAGAAAAGCAGTTCAATCAGAATTGTTTGCACCTCTCCACAAGCATGTCCAGATTCAGAGGCTTTTATTCCAATCCTCTTTGCCATTGGGATCTGACCCTAAGCCCTGTCAGGTTGCAAACTGTGCCAGTTTAGTCTCTGTCTGTCCGACTGTGCCTGCAAAACAGGTCACTCTGTCAGGCTGTCACATGTGCAAGGTCACTCTGTCAGCCTGTTAACTTTGCGTAACCTAACTGTCAATCCTGTGCCAACAAAGTAGGTCAGTCTGTCAGGCTGTTAACTGTGCAGCCTTGCTCAGATTATTGCCTGATGATTATGTCCATTGTTCAATTTCTACTACGGTTACCCCGCGCCCGCCCTTTTCCTCTTTTCGTTCCCTCCTTCCTTCCACTCCCTCTCACCTCGAGTCCTCCTCATTCATTTTTTTGGGGGTGGGGTGGGGGGAGCGGAGGAGGGAACTAAAAGCTAAAAGGTGGATTGGATTTACGTCCTGATTCCGGTCCGATTCCAGTCCGAATCTGGTTTGAATCTGGTCCGTTTCCGGATGCGATTGGTTCGATATCTTGCCGCCGTTGTGATCTGGATGCCGATCAGCCATAACCGGAATGTTAGACGATGTCAATCCTGGATGGCCCTTGTTGAAAACAACTCTTCCCTTCTACCACCCCCCCCCCTTCCTCTCTTTTTGCAGTCCCAAGCCTATTTTGCCAAAAGCTGGTGGTGCTGAACCTGGCCTTCTGGGACTGAATGGTTGGGCCCAATGGATCAGGACAAGTAGGGGCATCTGATTTGTGTCATCTAGATTGTGTCAAGTTTTTCTTTGGGATTTTATTTTTTCTGAAAAAAAAAAAAAACATTGTTTGATTTTTCTTATATTTTTGCCTGACAATAACAGAATCTACCCTACAATGCCTACATCCGTTGTTCTTTTTGGAATTCGTCAATTGCAGCCACCCTCAGC